CTGCAAGAACAGTCATATTTTCTGTTATGAGCCCTGAAAACCTGAGGCCAGGAGCATGCCTTCTCTTTAGCTATTCTCAGTGGCAATGTCTTAGAAAGAAGAACAACAGTATGGTATGGAAGGAGCCAGCATTGTGCTTTTGTTAACTGAGAAGTGAAAATAAAAGAAATAGGAGACTGGTTTATGGAAAGGAAACCTAGGAACAAAAAAAAACCCCAATAAAATGTGTACTTCTTCATTTAAACATTAGAAGGCTTTCTGTTATGATAATTGTCATAAAATATTTATTTATGTTGAACGTGTTCATCCCATGCTTCATGACATTGTTCCCCTCGATGGTTTACTTCTGTGTTTTCATGTCATAGACACACATACAATTTTATCTAATGTAAGATCTATATAGATATCAGAATCATAAATAAGGAAAATAAACAGTATCAGTGTTTCTGAGGCTGGCCTTATTTGTTTAATAGGACTATCACAAGTTGCACTCATTTTTCTGCAGAGAAGTTAACTTTATTCTTTATTATGACTAATAAAGTTCCTATGTATATTAAACATATTATGAACATAAACATATATTACACATTAAAATATAACATATATGCTTGTATATCTATACATATTGTCACTCTTTTTAACTACTCCACTCTTGCTGGAGACCTGGGTTAGTTCTGTCGTTCACGCTGTCAGGATCAGTGCTGCAACAGCCATTGATGACCAAGGAGCTGTGTGAAATGACCCAGCTCTATCACTTCTGGGTATTGACTATCTCCAAGTCAACACACCACAGACATACTGGGACATCAATGTTTATTGCAAGAAGGTTTAAAAAATCATGTGTTTGAAGATAAATTTCATTGCACATGAAATCATTTTTATTTTATTAAACCACTCCTAGCTTTTCTGTGACTACCACAGGCAGTTATGAGCACAGGGATGCAGAACTGAAAACAGCAACTCTTCTGCTGATGAATTTCATGGCTCCTCTGCAGACAGACATTATGGCCAGTAAAGGGCTCTCTCCATGGGGTTCCTGCTACTCATCCTTCCTGTTTTGTTTTATAGTTATTTGAGGGCACTGAGAAAGGCTTTCTCGGTGTGGTTATAAATTTCTCATAGTAATTTTCATTTTAGGACCTCTGAACCCAGGAATCACTTGTGCTATTGGACAGAATCCTACATAATTCTGAGGAGTAATGAATGCAAGTTGGACTTTCAATAGGAAGATAGGGGCCAGTGCTGATGACAGAATCTCCCTCCCTCCCTGGACCTACATTCTAAACTCATATAATCGTGACCATTTCTGTCTATGGTAAGCAGCTTCCATTTAAGGATACACATAGGCTTATTTTATTGTTGAATGATTTTTAAGCTTTGAGAGTTATTTACTCTTGGTATGAGTCCTTTATCAGGTATGTGTTTGACAGATGTGATTTTGACATGGACAGAATATAACTGTACTTTGTTATTCCCTGAGCAAACATTTTAAATTTTGATGATGTTGGCCAGTCTTTCTATCCTGTAGCAAGTGTTTGGTGTATGTCTTGAAGTTCCTCATCTAACATTAGGTCCTGGAAGATTTTCTTTCATATTGTCTTCTGTATTTTATGTTTAAATATATGACTTATCTTATGACAATGTCTTTTAAACTGAGTAACAAGCCATTAACACTCTGGCTGAAGAGAGGGCTCAGTGGGTATATTGCTTGCCTTGTAACTCTAAGGGCCTGAGTTCAAATTTCAACCCTTGACATAGACACCAGGCAGATCTGTACCCTCAGAGAGGACAGGCAGATTCTGGGTGCCTGCTAGCCAGCCAATGTAGCAGAATGTCAGCTTCCATGTTCAGTGAGACACAGACTCAAAGCATAAGAAGTGATTGAGGAGGACACCAGAGGATGATTATAGTTACAGACACTTACGTAGCACAGCAGAGTGTCTTACTACACACACACACACACACACACACACACACACACACACACATAAATTATATAATTCCTGTGAGAATTCATCTGTATTTGATAATATTCACCCTCCAATTTCTCCCAGATAAACCTCTTCCTTACCAGTCCGATTTTGTTTTTTAAAAATTAAGCCCATCCACTGGAGCATGGCTGATTTGATGGGGGCTTCACTCTTAGTAAACATGGATGTCCCTCCATCCGGCTGCTAACACGCGCCAACACTTTCTTTACTCCCTCTACGCCTATGTCCTAATGTGTGGGGTTGAGGTCAAATTTTATTTTATTTTTTCTTAAGAATGTGCAATTGTTTCCTATCATCTACTGAAGTAGCTGTTTTTCCTCTCTAGGATTGTTTGAGTCTCTGCCTACAGCCAGTTGGGCATATTTCTGGCTTTCTATTTTATTCCTCGGCCAATACTGCACACTTATTAGTATAGCTAAATGATGCGGCTTGCGATGTCGAGTGATCTCCCACCGCGCTGCTCTTTGTCTGTTATATTTAGCTTGCCTTGCCATGTATGCCTTAGAATGTCATGTTGAACCTGTCAATTTGGAGACATTTTTGTCATATTTTGTTACACTGAATATTCCCTTTCACAGTTTTAGTGTGCCTCATTTATTTAAACCTTTGATTTGTTACATGTTCTATAGCTTTGATACTGAAGTACTGAGGGTTTTGTCAAATTCAAGCCTAAGTAAGTCATTCATGGGAAATGACAATCATAATTTTGCTATATACATATTTATAACTAGTGTGTAGACACACAACTGAGACATTTTACATTGATTTTGCACACCAGCATCTGGATGAATTTTCTCTTTTCTTTTCTTACCGTTTGCTTGTTTTAGATACAGAGTTCCTTCCTTTCCAATCTGTATGCATTGTATTTCCTCTCATTGGCTCTTGCTGCCTTGTTGTGCAGGCTGAATGCTTCCATGTTAGGTTTAGAAAGAGTATTCAGGGCTGACAAGTGTCTGCCTTACTGCTGACTTTAGGAGAAGGTGTTGTCTGCATTGTCTTGCACCATGTTGGCAGTCCGTTTTCTGAAGATGTTCTTGACCAAATGAGGAATATCTTTGTTTTCTGAAGTCCCTTTTTAGCTTTGTGGCCTTTTTAAACATGTTTTGTGTGGAGTGTGTGCCCACGTCATGGTGCATGCGCTTAGCAGACAACTTGTGGGAGTTGGTTATCTCCTTTCTACGTGGATTCTGGGAGCGCAGGTTTGTACTCAGGGTGGTCAGCGCCCTTACATGAGCCATCTTTATTATTATTATTATTATTATTATTATTATTATTATTATTATTATTAGTTGCATTTTGTTAACTTTGTATCCCAGCTATATCCCGCTCCCTCATTCCCTCCCAATCCCACCCTCCCTCCCTCAGCTTCTCCCTGCCCCTTGCCAAGTCCACGGATTGGGATTGGGGAGGACCTCCTCCCCTTTCGTCTGGCCCTGTTTTATCAGGTATCTTCAGGACAGGCTGCAAAGTCTTCCTCTAGTCCTCTAGGCCTAGCAGGACTGCTCCTCCCCTGGGGGGTGGGGAGGTCAGAGAGCCTGCCATTGAGTTCCTGTCAGAGATAGTCCCTGTTCCCCTTACTATGGGAAACCACTTGGTTATTGAGCTACCACGAGCTTCGTCCAAGCAAAGGTTCTAGGTTATATCCATACATGGTCCTTGGTTGGAGAAACAGTTTCAGAAAAAAACCCTGTGCCCAGATATATTTGGTCGTTGTGGACACGAGCCATCTTGCTGGTCTTTCTGTTGACTTTCGCCAAGCGCTTTTCCTACCTTCAATTCTTATTATTATATGGTATTTACTTTTTAGCTTGTTAATGAAGTGACTCAGCCTTCTGTGTATCTTGTGATTAAATGAACATACAAATACAGTTATGAGTAATATTTTAGCAAGTTGTATTGGTTTTCTATTTTTGCACTAATAAACTACCATAAACTTCCCTGCTTAAAGTGAGAAACAAGACAAACTACGCGAAGTCCTGGAAGTTCACACTCAAACTCACTGGGCTGATCAGTCTATATTGGGTTCTTCTAGGGAAGCACATTTTCTTGTCTTTTCTAATCTCCAAGGATTACTTAAATTCCTTTGCTTAAGGTTGCTCCCTTTCCTCCATATTTAAAACCACTAGTGCAGCATTTTCAAATTCTCTGTCCTTTTGCTTGTAACTGGAAATGTGCAGTCTCCTTCTGATTGTCTCTCTCCTCTTTGACTCTCTCTTCCCTGTCCCTCTATTTAACTCCTCCCCCGACTACCTTTCCCCTCTTCCTCTATCTGACACTTTCTTCCTCTATCTGACTCTGCCTTTTTATGTGAATCCACATGGCTGGTGCAAGCAAACTTTCCACTCATGATCCTTAATCACACTGCAAAGTTCATCTCACCACATAAGAAATTCAGAAGTTAACAGAGCTTAATAAGTAGCCATTTTTTTTCCAGGTGATCACACTTTCTTCCTTGCTGTATCCTAGTTTTCTTTCTTTTGGAATTGCTTTATTTTTATTTTTGTAACAAAATCCAGTGATGAGTTGTTATATTTCAAACTGCATAATTTTAAACTGATGCTCTTCTGTGAATGATGACATTGTGAGGCGCGCTCCCTGTGGAATCTATGTGTACTGCATTCTTTTAGCAGTGCACACATCTAAGAAGCACAAGAAGCTGTAATCCAGTGCAGGACAAAATTAAACACGCTGCCCTGTGTCTGAAGTATGTGAGTTGAATGACTCTGGCAGGTTGAATATGTACTAACATTTTTTTAAACTTCTAGCATTTCAGTATGTGTTCCTCCACACTACTGTTTCCAAGTTAAACGGTGTCATTGTGGCTGTAGCGTGCGGGCAGCATTGCCAAGGAAAGAACCACATTCAGCTTCTGCTAGTCATCAGCTCCTCTACCATAGTGTTCAAGCTATGTCAAGTGGTGTGCAAAGAAATGAGTATCATTGAATTTCAATAAATCTTTATTGATAAGACATTAAAATTGAATTTCATATGATTTTACATGCTAAAACTTTTGTTTTAAAACAGTTTAATAAAGTAAAAAAAAAAAATTAGTCTGTGGACCATATAAAAGTAGACTGCAGGCCAGAACTGGCTATGGACCTTAATTTGCCAACACCTACTTTAATCTCATGGAATCTACATTCTAAAGCAGGAAATGAAAATAAATCATAAAACAAAGAAGTGATCATATTAAAAACAGATACTTTCATGGTAAATAGTAAAGTATTCAGGGACTATATCTATGAGGGAACTGGTACAGTGAATCTAAATAACGCGAAGACAGGCATGAGTAAAGTTACACACAGAGTATTCTACAAGGGCAAGACACCAAAAGCAGGTGTAGACGACGAAGCTCAGTGACTCAGAGGCGCCAAGGGTGTGTGACAAGAACTCAGGGAGGAAGTGCAATGAGGGGAATGTTCAGAAAACAGATACAATGTTCTCGTCATGGTGAGAGGGCATTGCAAATCAATGGTAGGAGCTCTGCTAGGTCTAGCCCAACATTAGACACTGGAGTTCTGGCTTTTGTTGAGTTATATGACTGTACAAGGAGAGAGAGGAGAAAAAGGTTTTTATTTGTTCTATACAGTTCGAGAAAAGTACAGTATCTCTTGTATAACTCAGCATGTCAACAAAAATAGATACAATGGAACCAACAATTTGCTTCATTCCAATAATCCTCCTTCATATTTGACAATTCACTTTATATTTTCTCGCCATGCAAATGTGTTGTTCACTGGGTCGCAACGGGCCATTAGTAACAGTTTTATATAAAAATCTAGTTTTCATAGAAAGTTTAGAATATTAAACACTTTGTTCATGTATTTTTCATTTATACCCAGACCAATCTGTATGCAACAAGCTCTTTCTAGTCTCTTCTTATGTACTGGAGGGAAGTCATTTTTAAGTTCGCATTGACTTGTAATATCCACCAAGCAAATGCCAGACTTTCTTTTTCAGCAGCCACGCACTTCGTTTCACTTGTTCAGCAACTTTTTATTTGTCCATTGGTATCTGGAGCAGATATATCTGGACTGTTTATAATCACAGTGCATGAAGTCCTCACATTTGAAAACAGATCTACTAAGACTTTAACACTGCCTTTCATAACTGTGAACTATCCTTGTTAGTTTCTTGTTTTCATTTATTTTCTCCAATACTGCTTCTAGTAAATATGAGGCAAAAGGAAGCTGTAAGAGAACAAAAACATTATCAAAACTCTGTATTTTCTTCAGTTCAAAAACATTTATAAGGACTGATGAGATGGCTCAGAAGGTAAAGGTGCTTGGTATGAAGCTTGAGTTCCATTCCAGGGATCCTCTTGATGGAAAGGGAGAACTGAGCACTCAAGTTGTCATCTGACCTACACAGACACACAGACACAGATACACACCATATGCCCTGTATGCTTACACATAAATACACAAATATAATAAAGTAATACAAAACTGGAAAGAAACCGGTTTGAGAAAAACCACAGACTAAATATCATTAAGGCATATGTAACTCTGAAGTCATAATAGTACTCTACTGGATCACTTTTCAACAGATCTTCCTGGTTAGTGTAGGTAATTTTGTCTTTTCTAATAAAAATGATAAAAGAGCAGAAGTAAAATGAAAAAAGATAAACGCCTTATTGAACAATTCATGGTTTACTGACCATGTTAATGATGTAATCTGCAATACAAGCAGCTAAGCCATTCATCTTCAATCAGCTGATCAATAGCAGGTTACAGTCATCTCCAGGGCATGCAGGCCCACAGTAGTGGTACTATATGTTCATCACTCATAAAAGAATGAGAGAGAACTATCAATACACATGTCTGTATGAGAGCCCAATATCTCAAGAGTTGCAGGATAGAATTTCAGCAAGAAAAAAATGGCAAAAGTATACCCATTGATTAAGTTGTTAAAGTTTGTTTGGGATATCAAAGTGTAATACACATGTTTCAGAAACTGCTGAGTTTATGAAATGTGAGAACATTTTAAAATTTCATAATTGATATAACTTTGCTGCTAGTTTTATTGTTCCCATTGGCTTGCTGGCGGAATGTGGACATATCCCCTATAGTTATGGCTTGTGAATAAGAATGTTTGGACTGGTGCCTTGAATACTTCCTGCAGTTTGACTTATTTTTTGTTATCTTGTTCCTGTTACATCACATGAGAGGTCTGTCATAATTAGGAAATTCATTAAGTAATTCTTGGGTTTGTCCTTCTGACTGACCAGGAAAACCCCACTTTTATTTCCCTAAATATGTTAGAATACTTAGAGTACTCATACATCCTCTAGAGAAAAGTCGAGTCAGGTTTTCTGTTGTGCTAGGACAAGCACTGATGCTGTCCCTACTCAGTACTGAGCAAAGACAGTCCATGCCCTACACATGTTCAGCCAAGGATTGCGATCAAGTCAATCAACATGGTTCTTTCCTGAATCTGAATAGGTAAGAAGAGAAAATATTAGCTAAGATCTTTAAATCGTTTCCTGTTTTCTAACTTGCCTTTTCCAAAAGACAGTCTGGATGTATGCCTACTTCCCCAAAACTCAAGAGCTTTGTACATCTGTCTCATCTAAAATTTACCAGAGAAGTGTCAAAATAGAACATTTCTTTAGTTTTTAAGGTACAAATGAATATACGATATAAATGTTGTTTGAAATATTATTTTTAGGTAGAAAAAATGATAATAAATATATACATATACATACAGCATACAGGTTTCATTTTTAGAAATGTGGGAAAAGAACATTAGAATAAGAAAAAGAATACACTTCCTCTTTGAATACAATAACAACAAATTCTTTGCTTTGATAAATAGCATATCTGAATGCACAAAGGAGTTACAGTTGATGAAACTTTTAGTTTCACTAATTTGATAATTAAGTCATCAGGGAATTAATATTAGCTTTTAAAGAATGCATAATAATAAAGACTTTTTTTTGTCTAGCAAGGACTAGGCCCCAAATGACAAGACCCTTGAGCAACTACTATTACACTATCTACATAAATATATATATATATATATATATATACACACTTTTTAAAGTGACTGATAAATATTTTAATCACCGTTAAAAATGAAAACCTATACTATGCGACTCACTCCTTGTCTTCACACACTTTCATGAAAACCCAGTTGTGGATTCCCCAGGGCAGGAGTGGGAAAGAACAGAAATCAGGGAAGTGTCCTTCAAGAGGAGAAAGAACAATCGTAGGATCAAAAGGCCCCGTCCCACAATACAAACACAAACTTCAGACACAAACAAGCACAACCTGACCCTGTGACCCCAGGATGTTTAAAATGCTCCTTTCCCTTCCCTCACATTAGCCCTACTCCAGAAAGGTGGGGCCTGGTGAGAAGAAGAAGAGGAGAAGGAGAATGAGTAAGAGGAGGAGGAGGAGGAGGAAGAAAGGGAAAAAGAAGAAAGAAGAAGAAGGAAGGAGGAGAAAAAAAGGGTTGGTGCCTGGAGTACTGAGGGAGGAAGGGGTAGGGAATGGAACAAACTGGTAACGGTGCTGGTGAAACCTATGCCTTCTCTCTATATACACAAGTCCACAGAGATAAGGGAAGATAGCGTGGTGGGAAAAACCCGGGGGCCCATGTAGCCCTTAGACTAAGCTCCCCAACTGCCTGCCCTTCAGTGTGCTCCTCCAGCCCCACTGAAATCCGCCTCCACCTTGTGTAAGTGGGGACCAAACACACCTATGGGGCTGGGGAGTGGCCAAGTTTGCCTCCTCCACTGCCCCCACCCGCTCTGGAAACTCTCTCTTGGTTTGCAATGCTGGCCCAGTGGGTGACCCTGGTCCAGGTCCAGGTCCTCATCCTGCGCCCATCCGGTGACTGTGTTGTGTCCCCGAGGATGCATGAAGATGTCTTCCCACATGAACTGCCTGGCGTAGACACGACAGGCTTCATGTGTGTCTTCATGTGCTCGATCAGGTCAGGTGGTGTTTCATCTTGAACTTTTTGCTGCACACGGGGCGACCAAAGGGTTGCTGGTTGAGAGGCATGTTCATGTGCTGGTCCGCATACTCTTATGTGAGAATGTCTTCCCAACAGGGGCTCAAAAATACCTTATTCTTGTCACTGCTGCCTGTCCCTCCAGTAGCCCCACTAGAGACACCTGCCCAAGCCCCATTGCAGAGGTACCCGCTAGAGTCACTGCCATGTTCTCCTGTGTGAGAGGATAGGAAGATCAAGATCTGGTTGCTCCATACGTCCAATGGGAGGAGAGATCATGGAGAGGGGATAGGGAGATGGAGTAGGTGCTCCTGAGTCACCAAGCCCTGCTCCAGAACTCCCCCCAACCCTGCACCAATGAGGGCCAATGTCATTGGAGGATTCCCAGAAGTTGACCTATTCCTTCCCCCTGTCTTCAGGCTCCTGTCAAAGTGCACATGTTGTCCCTGATACCGAGAATAGGCTCAGGGTTCCCCCCGGCAAGTACCCCAGCGCCAACTCCCCCAGTTCTTCATCCTGATCGCCTTCACAAGTCAATACCAGATCTTCCTCATCCTCTAGATCTGGGTCTTGATGAACCAGAGATGCAAATTCTTGGAGTTCTGATGCAAGCTGACAGAGAAAGCTGCAACTGACAACATTCAATTCTGGCAGAATCCATAATATATAATCACTTAAATTTTAGAAATCATTCTAAAAGCCATAGACAAGAACTTAAAATAGTTAAGACATTTAAGTTATTTTTTTTTCTTCTGCTTCAGGGAATACTTAGATAACATTTAAAGGATACTGATGACCTATCCTATTTATGAAGTTCTTGGGAGATGGTGATACTTCAGGATTTAGGAAGGGAATTGTTATCAATTGTTCTTTATGTCCTAGGAGTGTTACATAGGATGGAAGAAAAATGTGTGAATATTTAAGTTAGCTGAGCCTTTCCTACAAACCCAACAATATCCTAGGCTTATGATAAGGCTGTTCTTTAGGATCCTATGGAATAGAGGAATATTATTTTCACAATTTCTACACCAGGCTAACAGTTGTCATCAGAATTTCCATGGGAGGCAATGGTCTTACTTGACCCATGCCTAGCAAGACATTTTAACCAAACTGACATGTATGTTCATAGGCCAAAGATGTCCCTTCACCTTCAAGATAATTCATTGGACAATGATACTATCCCAGAAACAACCTCATTTCTCTAAACCTCGGTGATACTAATTTGAACCTGTGCTACTTTCAGTGAACAGTACATTTACTATCAGCAGTAAATGTTTTCTAATATTTTTCCAAAGCCAAGAACTATACAGTAGAGGACATGGCTTTTCCCACCTTTACAGTGAAGAGTTATCTAATTGGTTCAGGGAACTGTACCAGAACCATCAACCGTGCAACAGAACCATGCTTTAACATGCATTTATATTTCACGGCTCTGCTGGCTGGCCTGTCTAAAAGCAGGATCCTCAGGGGCGCGGCTGACCTGTAGGCTGCGGTCTTCTCCGTGTTCTCAGGTGCTATGGAGAAGGAATAGCAAACTCCCTTATCTCACAGGCTCTAATGTCACTCAAGAGTGATCTGCTCTCAAGATCTGATCTCTGCCCCCACATGGCCACCTCGAAGTAACAATGCAGAGGATTACGGTTAACACAGACTCTGCTGAACATTTTTTTAATATAGATTAAACTGCTTCTTTACTTGAATTATTTTTCAAATGCATAATCTAAACAATGGTATTCATACCTAGTCCCCAAATGAGCCCCTAAATAATGTTAACTATTTATATAATGAGAAGACTCCTACTTCAAACAATAGATTGTAAGCTCCTGAAGGCTTACCTCTGTTGTCTGAAGAAAATAATTGGTGTGAGTGTGTGTGTGTGTATGAATATTTGCGTGTGTGTGATTTTTATCTATAGATCCATCAACAGGCATTGGGATAGTTTTCACTTCTGTCTGTAGAACTCTATGAACACAGGATCTGCTCAGGAGCCTGCTTTCTGCCAGCTGTATAACAAGAAGCAATACAACTCCACTGTTTAATCTTCTGAGTAGTAGCCAAAGTGCTACTTCAGTGATACGGAAGGGTTCTGTTTTCTTCTGACTTTCATGGGGACCTTGGTGTTTTCTTGTTTCAGATTTAAAACTCAGGATCTGAATTACCTCCTTTGTCTCCCATGATGACAATGCTTTCACATAGCAAAGGTACTCAGAAAACATTTTTGAACTAATCACAACTCAAGTAGAACCTGTATTCAGGTTAGAGTCAGTCTTAGAATACAAAGTATAAATGATTTTATTATAACATAAAAACATGTCTTTCAGTAGGTAAAAGTACCCAAAGATGGCTAAGACAAAAAAAAAAATACTTACCACAAGCCAATGATATAGGTTAGAATAATTTTAAAGACTTTAAAGTGTAAGAAAAAATGTCCTTTTTCTGAAACAAAAGCAGGCTTTAAGTTGTTACATAAAATACACTGAGTAGAGAATTGAAATCTTGCTAATGAAGCTAGCTGTAAGGAATGTCTGTGAATGACCATGAGGCTTTGCACGTGTGAGCAGCATGTGAGCAATGGACACATGCTACAAATACTGTATAGCAAGCGGCCACACAGGAGTGATGGCTTCAGAGTTCCATGAGGGACTTAAGTTAACCTTTGCACTGATAGTTCCCTCCATTTACAAAGGCCAGGGAGGTTTATCAACCTCTTGCTACAGTCACACTCCCAGGCAATCTACAGAAGAAAAGCATAACTTTAGAGAGGACACTGGAGAAAATGGACCACTTTAAACTTCAGCATTTATAAGATCTGAGGGAAGTATCTTGGCTTTCATCCTTTTTTTTTTTTTTTTTTTTTTTTTGTGCACATAAGAATGTTAAAAGTTTTCTTAAATTGTTAATTAAACTAAGGATAGACCAACAAAAGCTGGGAAACACAGAACCCTCCAAATATTATTAACCAACAAGAAATTCTATGGTTTCAGTCACAATTGAATATTTCCTCCATAACACTGGTTTTCTTGATGGTTATGTTTTTCAACACACTGTCAACTTCCTCATGGTGAAATAATCCATCTTTGATTTGGGACTGGCTGTATATTCTCATGCCTGCTGTGCACTAACTCTGGATACTGTGGGCAGCTCTCTTCCTACCCTGCTTGGGGCACACTGAGATCCCACTGCCCTCACCTCTTTCTTCTCCACGGCCCTGCACTCGGATGCCATGCATCTTTCTAAAGTATGCTCCTGCTCAAATTCCAGTATTTTCTGGTCCAGCTCTGTTTTCATCTGCTCCTTAAACTACATGAAACAATTTTTAGGGGTTCCTCTCTTTTTCACTTCTTAGTCTCATAAATTTAAAAATATCAATATGAAAAGAAAACATAAGTAAACATTTTAAAATAAAGACCTTCATACCATAGATAAATGAAAGTGGACCTTAAAAGCTATTTGTCATTGTGGTTCTTACTAGGAATCTGCAAACTGCAACAACAACAAAAAATCAAATACATGGAACTACTAGCTATGTTACAACTAAATAAAACAGTGAGGCTATGTGCTTACACTCTGTCATTAAGTATATACATGTATAAAAGGATCTAACTTTTCATTCTGGTGCTCTCTAGCCCACGACAGTAATGTATATCATACTGTATAGCTTCACCATGCCACATGGGAAAAAAATCGGCTTTTTATTTTGTGGTGAATGTATCATCAGGGTTGATTGGTTTAAATATTCGGGATTCTACTGTACAGCACCAAACAACACAGAGGAGGGAAGACAAAAATCATCCTCTACTTTCATCTTTTGAATATTTTAAGACTATTATACCAGAATCAAATCAGGTAGTGTGTAGGGAATAGGGTCACTTACTACATAGCTTAAATGTTGTAGAAATGCATACACAAGAAGACAAAAGCTGTAAAGTAACCAAACAGATTTACAGTTTTACCCATACAACTCTGCCAGCATCTCAGACAGGTGGCAAAGGAAACATTTTTGGAAACACAGGACAAATATATTGCTGGGATAGAGAGAGAAGAAAAGAGATGTTTTCTGTTTTATATATCTTTCTCTTGGGCATAATTATAAAGTGACGTTCAAGTGCAACCATTGAAATGCCTATTTTTTTTTTCACAAAATTCAAAGACATCAGCAAAACCACCTATGTCAGTAATAAAAATAAAAGTCTTTGACTTTTTAAATGTTTTCATACTGTCACAGCAGAATAAAATTAGCTTGAAAAACGATCTAAAGGCATATGATGCAGTTCATTATGTACAGCAGCAGCAGCACTTCTCAGTGTTCATAAAGGCTGCTCCATTAAATTTACCTCCAGTCAATAATTAGGAGACCACAAATAAACCTGGGCAATTAAATCAATACTACCAGGCAATTATATCCCCGAGTCCAGGCTCAGTGGCACAAAAAGGCACTATATCAAACTGCAGTATTAAACAGTCTGATACCATTTCAACAGGGAATTTTTAACATTAACCGGACAGAATAAGCATGTATACTGGTACTTCAGACTTCGTACATACACTTCCACACATGTAAGATGACTCACATACACAAGTGTGCACAGGCACAGGCACGGGCACACACACACTCACACACAGACACACACATGGACAACAACTACCTCTAAATGAGGACTGATATCAGTATAGCTTTAGCAAGATTTAAACATTGATTTATTATTTTATAGACATAATTGATGATAAAATTTCTAATTAAAGGAGCTAGAAGGTCCTAGTTAGAAGGCAAACACTTAAAAAAAATCATTGCAAGTTTATTTCTATCATTTTAAGCCGAAAAACAGTTTATATCAACTGTCATTGAACTCCATCATGTGCCAGGAACTGTTCGGAGCCTGGGCAAGCAACAGGATTAAAAAACGAGCTCTACGGACTGCAGAGAAGGACCAGCAATTACGAATATGTACTGCTGTTGCAGAGGGCCTGAAATTGGTTCCGAGCACTCACACTGGAAGCTTACAACTGTCCAAAAGCTTAGCTCAGAGGGATGTGGTGCCTCTGGCCTCTGCAGGCACCTGCACTTGTATGCACACGAACCCCCACATACACATGATTAAAAATAAAAGCACATCTTAAGAACAAGAAATGACCTCTCTTCTCCAAAACAAGCTGCCACTGTAAAGGCCTTGTCTCACACTTGTGCATCTGTATTCAAACTTTAACCAAAACGTCACCAAACATATTCTATTACAGAAGCAGTTTCAGATAACGTTTCAAAAATATATAAAGACTAAGAATATGAGTGGATAATGTAACATTTACTTATCGCTCTTTGTTTCTTGTCTTGGTGCTGGGGGTTGGACTCAAGTTTCTATACTAATCAAGCACTCAGCCAGTGCTACATCTCTACTCTTTTTATTGCTTTATTCTTGACTTTACTGAAAACACAGGAAATGCTACCTGGTGGTCCACATACAAAATACCAACAATTAATATCAACTTCTCTTTTTAATCTTAGCAGAAACAGTCACAGTATCTTTCAAAAATCACTGACTGATGGAGTTTTTCCTTTTCCATTTTGACAATTACCTTTTACCTTTTATTTATTTCAGGTTGGTTTTCAAATAAACAATTAGGGTGAGCAAAAAATAAAGACTATAATAAAAAAGTTTTAGAATACATTACATGCTGTCAGTGATGTCAAAACAAAAGCTGGCTATGCCTAGAAAAGTAGGGCTCTCACCTGCCAATAAACTACCCTTGATCACTTACAAGAGGGGCGCATCCCAGCAGACCATGTGTGTATTAAAAAAATACTTGAAAGGGGAGAAAAAGAATATCACACTGGTCACAGTAGCAGCCTCAATAGAGCCCGCAGGGACTCAGCTCGTCTTGGCCTTGTCATCCTGTACGCAGCTTTCTACTCAGCCCAGAAAACGTCGATAGGAAAATGTTTGAGGGGCCTCTGGTGGAAATTTTTTCATTCTTTCTGCATTGACAGGATGCCAAATCAATATTTACTTCCCACTAACAAGCTGCTCGAGGTCTCAGTAGAAAATATTGTAGAGAATGCGGGAAGACACAGTAATAAACAGCTGTCTGGCTGTGAGGAAAACATGAATTGACTGGAAACAGGTCCACAGTAAAAGGTCACCGAAACCCATGAACTCCTCAGGTGTCCATATCAACTTCCAACTTTAAAGACACTAATAAAGAATCTCTTTTCCTAAGAGGTCTGGGAGAATGGATCCTTCTCACTCTAGCAAGCAGAGAGCTTGACTCAATAATTTAATTAATGCACTTGCTGAGGCCCATGTTGCCTTTCTCAAGGCATTTGCTTCATTTGTTAAGTCCAAAAGTACAAATAGGGGGTTAACTTGGCTGTCTACCCTGGAACGCTTCTTTACCTAACAGAAGTAAATAAGGGTGTCTGCAATTGTGAGGCAGCGAATATTTATTTGGAACTTTTAATATACAAAGCACAAAAATGAAATACCTGTCCTTCAAGAAGTTTCTGAATATACAACAGCCATTCTTTGTCATTTTCAGCTTCTATCTTAGTCTTTTCAATTTCCTAAGAAAAATAAAAACACGTGCATTAACTGATATGAACTTACTCATTCTGCTAGATTCAGCTAGATATTGAATGCATGAATAGAAACCAAGAATGGCCCATCTCTTCCAAGGTGAAATATTTAAATACATACTATTTAATATTTAATTTGTTAATATATACATATAGAAGCTAAAGTTATATTTATCGATTTTATAATAAATTAGGATTTTTTTTTCAGTGGTCACAGTGTGGTTCAAGATAGGGATGAATGGGAGTAAAAAAACATGTAACATACTAAAAAGACAATGCAGGGCTGGAAAGATGGCTCAGTGGTTAAGAGCATTTGCTGTTCTTGCAGAGGACCTGAGTTTGGTTCCCAGCATCCAGCATCCATGTCAGGTGACTCACAACAGCCTGTAAGTCCAGCTCGAGGAAATACAGCTCTACCTATCGTCTATGCAGTGACTCTCTCTCTCTCTCTCTCTCTCTCTCTCTCTCTCTCACACACACACACACACACACACATGCTAACACTGGAAATTTACTACATGTCAATCTTCATGCTGGGCACTTCACAGACTCTCATACTTTAACATGAATTTATTACAGATGGATGCAGTTTATAGAACATAATTCAGGCAAGGCATCAGCCCCTTAGTCTCTAAAGGATGTACAGTTCATTCTAAATATACTTTGGTCTGTAATTAAGCACAGTGACTATATATCAAGGTGCCCTGATTTTGCTCAGAGCATGTTTATACTGAAGTTCCCTTTGTTTCCAGGAGGGTTTGCAAACTGTGCGGCGCAGGGGGCTGCAGGCAGAGCTGTCTGTTATCAGACGCATCAGCTCAGAGGCACTGGTGCTGCTTTGTCAGTCTTTGGGACTAAGAGGAACCTTTTAGAGTCACACAGGTAAAGAGACAATGTTACATACTTTTCTTATTCAAGTGGTGCGATGTCTTTCCAACTTATGGCCCAGAGAGAGCATGCTCCTAACTCCAAACAATGGCAGCGTTCTGGGCCTGCATCTGAGTGTAGTGCATGGGCACATGCACACGCATTCTCACAGGAGTGCACCACTAACCTAAGCTCTAATTAGGTATGTGTACCACCTATAGTGTAGACCCTCACTCAGGCAGCGCTGTCTCCCTTGTACCTTGTTTGATCCTATATGTGATAATATTCTTTTACTTCTTCGTCCAGTCACAGAGGCTATGGCACAAATGCTGAGACTAGGAAATAGGGAATGGCAATAAGACTAGCAAATAAGAATGACTCATCATCTCATTCACTCAAAGGATGAAAATAATTTTGGCAGCATTCCTTTGTGTCTTTTCCAAAAATTCTTGACAGTTTAAATATCTTTCTATTATAGATCTTCTTACGGCAGAAAGTCTAGATGCTCAGGAGGGCAGGCATGTCAGAGAGGATGCTCATATACAAATACTTAAGTCTATTGCTCCATTTATCATTGAGCAAACATTGGTACAATCCTATCTTAAATCTTTCCAAACAAGAAATGACTAAAGGCTTCTATTCTCAAGACCGGGCATCTTTCACAGGTTTGAAGAGCACCACTGGACATAGATCAGCCAGGGTCATTCCCCCTGAGGCCACTGACAGAGCATAATCCACTCGAATAAAAGTATCTCACCCTTCTTAAAACAAAAAATATTTTCCAGAAATAAGATTATCAAAATGATTATAAATTCAGACAGGAAAGCCAGGAAATCTAATACATAAAAATAAATGTCACACATGACTTTTTGTTTTGTTTTGTTTCATCAAATCAATGGTGAGTTGACTGAACTACATTTAGTCAAACTGTTGAATTAAGAATATTGAGGACTGGACCGTGAGGGCTGGCTAAGCACTTAAGAGCACTTGGTACTCCTGAAGAAAATGCAGTTTGGTTCCAAGCACCAATATGCTGGCACACCACTGTCCAACTCTAGTGGTTTCAGTGCTGTCTCCTGACACCAGGCCTGCATGTGGTAAAACAAATACACAAAGACAAAGTACTCATATACATAAAATAGACCAAAAATTGTGATTATTTCTGGGTGTGGTTGTACAGACCTGTACTCTGAAAGGGTTTTAGAGGCTGAAATAGGAGGATCACCAGGAGGAGACCAGCCTGGGTAACATTTAAGGACTTTGCTCCAAACAAAAGTAAATCTCTCTCTCTCCTCTCTGTCTCTTTCTCTTCCTTTCTCTCTCTGTCTCTCTCTTTCTGTCTCTCTCTCATACTCACACACACATACCAACAATGACAAGATATATAATATTATTAGTAAAGATATATAATATCTTTACAAGATATATAACATATATCTATATATAGTATCTTTACAAGATAAATAATATAATTAGCTAAAGAGAATGGAGGAGAAAGGAAGAATCTTCCTAATTGCTTATTATGTCTGTTATTCTTTCCTGTTACATACTTGACTCATTTTTATATTATATATTGAATTCCTCTAAAGGTGTTGACATGGTATTCTATGTTTATCTTTTTTTGACAACTTGACAATATTCCCATAAAATGAAATTCTAAGAATTATAAGACAAAAATACATTCAGATAAAAATACAGCAAGCCCTTTATTAATGAATATTCAAGCAATCTTACCACTTCATTTTCTGTGTCCAATAATTCCTCTAGGTCTGACTGTGAAATATTCAGGATAGAAGCTGCCAAGGTCTGGGCTTTATGAGTTGAGATTTTACAGGCATGTCTGCTTTTCTGCATCTTCTTAAGCTCTCTGATTTGATATCTTGTCCCATGGACATCACTTTGTAACTCTTTGACCAAAGACTAAAACATATTGGAAAGAACATGGGTTCATATGGAAGTCATAATGAAGACAAAATGGCCAAAACATAAAAATGTGAATGCACTAGCAAATCATTTTTATTAAGGTTACTCTGGTATTATTTATTTTGGAAGAGAATGGGCTATCTGCCCATTGTCATTCTGTAATAAAAATCCTCTTAAATCACCTCTTAACTACTTTTCTTTATTAACCAAAGCTCTCTACGTTCAGCTTCAGATATGCTAACCGGCATCATAGTTGGTCTTGCAGCTGGCAAGCTACTTGCTATCATGATAAAGCCCAATTGAGCTGATGAGATAGTTCTATTTATCTGGAAACATAGTATTCACTTATTAATTGTAATACGATCTTGCATAATGAGTTTAATTGTTACACATGGTGATGATAGATGATCACTGAAAAAGTTGCTTCTTTAATATTTTACTAAAACTAAATTAGAGATACTTTGGAAAACCTTGATAAGAATAAAATGAATAACAGTCTTGTTATAACACTATAAGGTAGAATGGATTGAAAGCAGATAAGAAAGCTGGAATTATGTCACAAAAGTCTTTAAATTTTTTCTTTGAGAAACCAACACGTGCTAATGAATGTCACTCATGTAGGCAAATAAGCAAAAGTACATTTACTCTGCACGACTAAAGTTTGGTGTGGTGATGCAAGAACGGCTTTGGGAGCCCAAGGCAGGCTGGCTAGATGTTGGGCTATTTCAACAACAGTTATTCTCATATATTACTTCAGCAGCTCTCTGATACAAAGCAAAAAGTGAAAGTACCACAAAGTGTAGCTGTTATGCACACGTGCATGCACACACACAAACAAACACACAAAATACAGTGAAGTATCTGTTTCTCCATTGTATTAGCAAACATCAATTTGATACTTCAGTGCAATTTGCTTTTATGACTGTTTTAAAGTTTCAAATTCTCATTTCTAGCATTAAAAAATCAAGTGGAGAATCAGCCTTGACATACCTATATTTTCATTGGCATTTTCAGTTATTTTTTAGTAATTTACACTACGTTAGTAAAATTACATTTGCCTATTGAATAGGCTTAATTTTTTTGTATTTATTCTTTTGTCAATTATATTGCTTCATGGAGAATAAAAGTTTTATGGAGTTGTCCTAGTTATGTTTCTACTGCTAGGATAAGTACCAGCACCACAAGCAGCTTGGGGATAGAAAGGTCAAAGTCCAGGCAGAAGCTGATGCGGGCATTTTTTTTTTTTTTTTCAATTGAGATTCTCTCTTCCCTGATGACCTAACTTTAGTTGATAAAAATCTAACTAGCCAGTAGTTGAACTGATGAACCTCCAAACTGTATTCCTTTTCTATATTTCACAACTAAAATTTTCTTTAGGTTGTGACTCAAATTAGTGGCCTGGAAAAAGACTCTGAGGTCATCCTTCTACAAAAGACTCTGGAAGAGGGGACTTAAGAATAACACCCCACACATTCAATTAGAAAAACGTCAAACATACAGAAATGCTGAAAACTGTTTTGGGAACATATACCCACAACTTATATACGACAATCAACTTTGTATATTTGATTTATCATGTACCTATTATCCATTGATCCAGCTTACATTTTTGAGACATTTTAAAGAAGGTGGCAGTTGTCTGTACAGGTGGGCCCTCATTAATTCCCATGTATATCATTAACTAATGATGAATATTTTTTAGTTCTTCTGAGGTCAGATTTCTACACAGTGAAAAACAAATGTCTTAAGTGTCGTTTTATAAGGTATTACTAAGTGAGAACTTTAGCTAACCTACACCCAGGTCAAAGTAGATGGCATTTCCATGTGTTATGGTTTGGATGCGAAACATCTCTCACAAGCTCTCGTAATATTTGAACACTTGGTTTCCAGCTAGTGTGGTTAGGATGTTGCAGAACCTTTAGAGGGTAGAGCCTAGCTGGTAGAAGTGCCACTAGGGCTGAGATTTGAGGTTTAAAACCTGGCTCAAGTCCTCTTGACTCTCTGGTGCCCATCTCTGGAGATGTAAGCTGGCTGCCTCTCACCTGTTATCACTGCTGGGAGCAATTGCATGCTGGATTGGCAGAGCAGGAAAGTAAACTTGCTGGAGGCAGCCCACTCGTTTTTGCATGGTTGACAAATGGGTATATCCCTGGTGTAGGCAAGGCCCCAAGGATTTTGCCTCAAGACTGCTTATTGTTGCTATACTGCCTTTCCATGCTTGTGTCATATATCTGGCATGGCAGAGACCCTCACTGCTTACTGCTTCAGTCTGTTGGGAAGATTTCCTGCAGATTATTTTGAAGATGTACCTTCTTAGTGCTGTTTAAACGAACTTATTATTTCATAACCCCTGATGAGGATTTTAAAGAATTTCCGACTTGATTCAACTAATTTTAACCCCCGAAAGACTCAATATTTCATAGATACTTTCATTCTTATTGTATTCTCTTTTTCTTTTTAACTTTTTTTCTTGTAATTCAGGAAAAGATGCAAACTTTGTATCCCAATATCAGACTGCCAACAGTGTTGTTTAATATTTTTCTTTATTAGAGACTTTAATGATACTGCTTCTGAAGAAAGGGCTATAGTGTTGAAAAGTAAATGATTGCTTTTTGTTCTATTTTAGTGCAAATTTCAAGTTGATGTTATCAGTTTTGCTTGTATAAAGAAACTAAAAATACATTTGTTTTTATGTGAAAAAACCCTCATGTAATGTAACAAAAATTGCTAGGTGCTCTATGAACCCTCACATGACAAGCACTTGGCTTACAGCAAGAGGGAAAACAAAGGAAATAACATTCACTGTAGGTTTAGTCCAAGGATAAGGCCCAGATGTATACCATGATAAGAAAGACCATATTAATATAGAAACAATGAATAAATGGTTGTCTAGACAAGACAAGACATACATCTGTTTCATAGAAAAACCTTGACATAAAAAACTCTTGCTTTGAACACAATATACATTTCAAATTAGAAGATAAAACTTCTGCTTTGAATTCATAATGAGCATACAGATAAAACCACTGCTTTAAGCTTATAATAAACAAATTATCTAGTTAGATATTAGGATCAATAGTCTTACTGTAACTCCCCTTTTATGTAATGATTGTATCTATTTTTGAGTGCTTTAATTTTTTCCATATATAGAAAACTTTTATATTAGAGAATATAAAAACCAAACACAGAATTAAACATTGGTTGAGTCCACCTCCTTCATTCAAATATGTGTCTGTCAAATTGTCTGTATATATGTATGTATACATGTGTATTTATATCTGTATGTTTACATATATGTGGATGACTGGTGTCTTTGGGAGCTCCCTTGTTTTGTCTGTTGGGTGTATGTGCGCGTGTGTGTGTGTGTGAGGTTTGTAAATATCTTCCTGCTTTGCCTGCCAGATGTGTACATTTTTGCATGTTCCTGTTAATAAGTTTAGTAAGTGATAAGCAGTCCGGAGTGTTTTATCGGCCTTCTTAATTAAGACTTTTCCTTCCAGCACGCCACTGTTCACTGCTGAGCCATTAAGTTAAAAGGAACTAAGGTTATTCTTTTTACAACCCCTTGTACTTGGAGCAAGAAACTGTCAGGGCTGCTGCCGCTTGTACTCTGAGCTAAAGGAGCCACCTGGCTTCTCTGATTATGATTATCATGGCGGTATTATTTAACCCGCTATCACGAATAAGAAGACACAGACACCTGTCAGATTTTTAATTGCCTTATTTAACTTGGGCCGGGCAGATATTTGACTTACATTGTCTCACTATCCTCACCACCATCTCCCAGCCCCCAACAAATGCCACCCACCGTAATCCTCCTCAACTAGACTACCTTTCATCCACAACCTCACGGTACTTGCTTATATTCTTCATCTGGGCCTTTTCACACCATCATTGGAGTCCTTTCTCTCTGCCCACATAGTACTGTAAACCAATGCAGTATCCTCCTTCTTCCTCTTTTCCTGTCTGTCTGTCGAGTGATTGTCATGATTCTTCAGTCCTCAAAAGCTCAGGAACCATAGCCACGCCTATCCCATTCTGCCCTGCCCAAGTATAGGCCATTTAATGAACCAATCAGTTATAATGATTTAGGCAGGTTTACAGAAACAAGGATGGGTGTATCCGGCAGGCAGTAACCAAATCTTGAGGGCCAGTAATTAACATTAGACCAAAGTTCAACATGAACTCGTTTATTTTTGAGCTATAGTCTTCGGGGTTTTTAAATCTATAATTTGCAAACAGGTAATTTTTTTTCCTCTCATGATTTCTATAACTTTATTTCTTTAAGCCTTTTGCCTTGGTCCTGATTTTACAGAAAGAAAAAAAAAAAAGCATATTTAATATGATGTCAGCTGTAACCTAAGGGTTTTTTATATTGAGATACATTCATTCTACATTTAATATGTTGAGTTTTTAAACACAAAAATGTGTTAATTTTGGTAAAATTCTTTATATCTAGTGGGTGGCAATATGACTTTTCTCTTTTATTCTGCTAATTTAGCATCGCATATATGTTTATTTGCATAGTTGACCCATCCACAGACCAAATACCATTTTAACATGGTGTATGATGTTTTTTTAATGTGGCTTGCTAGTACTCTGTGGACAATGTTTGCATCCATGCTTGATTAGTGGAATGTAATTTTCTTTTTCTCAGTGTGTCCTCATCTAATATCGCTATATCGCTTTAAGTGTAATACTGACCTTGTAAATAAAGTTTGGAAGTGTCCAGTCCTCTTTCTTTCTTTCTCTCTCTCTCTCTCTCTCTCTCTCTCTCTCTCTCTCTCTCCCTCCCTCCCTCCCTTCCTCCCTTCCTTCCTTTTCTTTCTTCTTTTTTTGTGGAAGAGTTCAAGAAGAACTGGCATTAATTCTTATTTAAATGTTGGGCCAAGCAATGGGGAAGCCATATGGTACTGGCATTCTGCTTGTTGGGAGGTCTTTGATTACTAATTAAATTGTCTTACTTGTTATTCATTTGGATATTTTTATTTCTCCAT